ATTCGTAGTCCTACAGGTTTTCCCACATACTAACGCTCTCAAATCCCTCACATAAAATCCAAAGAAATTCCACATAACGAATTTATCATTAAAAAGAGGTAGATGGACAGCAAGAAATGCTGTTTCGGCCTCTATGGTTGCAAAAAACTATAATAAAGGTATGTAAAGTATTCCAGCATTCCAGTCTTATATGAAAAAGGTCACATAACGATATATCATCAAAAGACGAAGCTTGAATTACAATACCTTTGCCAAACCTGCTTAACATCGACAAGAACACAGGAGTAATCTGAGGGTTACACAACCGTATATAAAGCACGCTTCAGCTCTGATTCAACATCAACCTTCACTCCCTTACTTCCTACTTTCTATACTACCTATGCAAACTTTGGTGTTATTCTTAACCATCATCCTGCTGGGCTTAGCTTTAGGAAGTGGTAAGTCTACTTTTTTAGAGAAAAGGTCAAAAGTAGGGAGTTTAAATATTTGCAAAACCAAACTTTCCACATGGACTCAAAGCTTAAGAGTACACGGTGTGAACGTCTTAAACCCAGTCACCTTATGTCAGAAACTTGGAAATTCGTGTGCATTTGTCTTGAAAGCATAAAAATACAGTTACATGATCCTTTGAGCACACATTTATTACTATTTTCATTATGTGCTATCTCACTACTTCCCATTCGAAAATATCAAGATAAAGCCAACAACTTCGCCTTACTCCAACTCACAAAATCAAATTTGAGTTCCAAAACTTACTGCTGATATTATTATAGATTTTCACGACCTTGGTGTTCATGACTTCTTTGATAAGCACGGTAAATCGCATGGCGACCATGGATATGCGGATTCGTACAATAAAGGATTCAAAAAGGGATATGACGAAGGCGGGCATGGTGAATATGGCAGCCACAAATACGGTGGTTGGGGAAGATATTCAAAGGGAGAGGAGCACGGCAAACGTTATGGTATGTCATAATACGTTGAAAATATTTGATTTGAGTAGAATTTCAGGTATGAGTTATGGCGATGACTCTGATAAACAACATTATGATGAGGGATACGACAAAGTCAAATACGGCCCTATACATGAGCACACTGGACCTCACCACCATCATCATCATCAGAATGACTATGATCCTTTCGATCATCACCACCATCATGTCTACGAACCACACCATCACTATGGGCACCATGGTATGTAGCTACTGCTGTTTAGAAAATATTACAACCGAAAACAATCGATAAGCGAACCTAGACCGCAAATCTTCAGAATCACATAGTCAAATCTTGGATGGAGTAATTAGGTCAAGGTATAGTCAGCAATTAGGTTAAGTCACCATTATTTCATGTTGATTGCATAA